AGGAAAAAAATAAAATAAAATAAATCAAGCATTCTGAAGGCAGAAAAAGCCCAAGTTAAGTAAGGTTATACAGACTACCTTAATTGTGCCCCTTAGCATGTATGCAGAATAGCTTTAATTACTAGAGAACACATTTTTCTGTAACACCTGCCCTCCATTCACTGCAGGATGGACAGTGTTCAGGAAGTGAGGCAATAACTCATGAATTAGTTTTATCCTCACTGTTCTATCCCCCCACCCTTCTGTCTCTTTGCATGCCATCCTCACCTCATGAAAAACAGGAAATCACTCCCTTTCCTCATGGGCATTTCTATACATCCATCATGGTAACCTCCGAGGCTTATCAAACCATTTATTTTAGCAACAGCCTTGTGCAGCAGAAAAGGTTTTCACAGATGAAAAGCCAAACACAAAGCAAGTACAAATATGTAAAGACAGGCACTAGGCTTGCACACTCTGAGCTTGCTTACACCCTTCCCTCTGCACACAACAAAGGCATCTGACACAGGGCATATGCTGCACACAGCACCCTGGGGCACAATTCAGTCTATCCCTGGACTCTCTGTACTGCATGCAGCACCCAGAGTACTGGGTCCAGTCCCAGTGCCGCATGCAACGCAAGCCCCAGAGCGGGCCCATTGTGTGCTACATGCTGAGCTGGGTTAACCATGCTAATCAGGAATGTCTCTGTCTCTGGTGCATGGTCCACATCTGGCCTGCAGGCCAGTTTACGGGTCCAAATGATTCTGACACCCCTGAAATAAAGGAAAGTGTCTACACGAGTTCTATAAGGATCACTGCCAAGTTTGGTCTTATTTCATATCTTTATCAGTGAACTGGGAAAAGGGACAAAGCAGCACTTTATTATGACATTACAGACCAAAATGTGGCATTTAGCCACGAGTCAGAGAAGGGCATGCAGCAGGTCCCAGAGCACCAAGTGGCCTGACTTACACAAGACTATTCCACATCCCTGCTGCATTCCACCAGTTCTGCAAGGTCGTGTTGGCCAAGGAAGGAGGGCCAAGGCAACATTCATGGCATTACATACACCCAGTGTGGAAGCTGCCTGTAATAATGGCATGTTACACACAGGAATAGAGACCAAGGAAAAATGTCTTCACATACTCTTCATTCTTTGCCTAAGTACAGACAATCAAAATCAATTCAATCTTCACAGGTTAGTCTAAGCTCCATAGACTGAACCAAATAAGCAAGTGAAAAGACATTCACTTTTGATTCCAGAAATTCAGCGCATGCAACCCTGTTTGGCGGGAGCAGACAGCTTGAGCCAAAGCTAGTTCACCCACCCTGCAAGAGGACTTGCAGGGGGAGTACAAAACATACTGGGATGATGGGGGACTGCGAGTTAGCTTGAATCTGGGATCTGGGACAGAAGTTCAATAAACCGATTTAACCTAAATCAGTGAAGTCTGATACTACATGCATCCAGGTTTATCTTAAAACACTTTCAGCCATTTTGAAAGCAGTTTACATGCACAGAACATCTGTTGCGCTACAGATCTGAAAGTTTCTGATCACTTATATCGGTTTGTGTGCAACTTCTGTCCCTTTCTGCATAAATCACCTAAGGGCCTGTCACATTCTGGTCAGATTATGTAAACAGCTAGCAGACTGAAGAATTAATGCAAAGGGAGCTGAAGATTGGGGGGGGTTCCTAAAATACCAAAATAAGATCTACTTTAGAAAGAAAAAGCCTTTGTAACTTGCACAGGAAAAAAAGAAAATAAATCAAAAACAGAGAGAGATTCACTAGGAGGGAAGGGAAACCTGTTGCATCAGTAACAAATACTCTTCTTCCAATGTGGCATGTTCTGGAAGGTTTTTTTGTTTTTTAAAAATCACAAAATAAGCAAGCTATAGCACCAATCAGAACGCTGAATCCAGAAATACTAAAGGTTTAACCCACATAAAGGGTCAACTCTCATGGAAGTGTCAATTCTTTAGTATCAGGTGGTGCAGTAAGTACTGAGGATCAGACTGCAGGTCTCTTCCAATTACACATTCTCTTCAGCCAGTAAAGATAACACACTCCAGCAGAACCTTAATTCCTAAGAGCAAAAAAGCTGAATTCAAGTTTCAATTTTTAATCTATTTATCCAAAGGTACCTGAGAGGTTTAGAAGTCATTCAAAAAGATCAAGTCACTAATCCTGCAGCACCATGCTGTAGCTCTCATACGGGTTCTGATCTCCCTGATTCAAAGCCGGGTTTGTGCTGTTGGCAACTCCATCAAAGATATAGCTCATGAACAAGAGATGCCAAATATCCCCAAACCTCACTGTGACTTTGTAAACACTGTAGTTCACCCAAAAGGCAGTCAAACAAGCATCTGACATGACCCTCATATCCCAGAGGTCCTTGCTGCTCCAAGATCTCCAACTCATTTCACCCATCTCTTCTTACTATTTTGTACTGCTAGCAAGAGCCCAGCAAATACCCACCACGCAGCCAGCATTTGCTGTTGTCATTCACTGTCCCATGCTGTTCTCTACTTCAGCTGCATAGCTACAAGGAGTTGGTGGAATACACGGGGTTTCACTGTTTTTCCCCACTGCCTGTAGTCAATGGTTATATATTGCTTGAGGAGTTGCACACAATTCATACAAGAAAGCAGCTGCATCCTGCTTTCCCGCACAAACAGGGTCAAACCAAAAATACTCAAGCCCACTATTCAAGTGCCCCAGATATGGTACCTAGTGGTGTTATCACAAGGATCACAGTCCCACACCAGTACTTTTGCAGGTAAAAGTTCTGCCATTATTTAATGAGGAAAATGTTTCTCTACTCTGATCTTACAAACCTCTAACAATAGAAATTTAACACCATCACCTTAACAGCAGAGCTCAACTACCCTTACAGTCAGAAAGTTCTTCCTGCTATCAAATCTAAATCTACCTTGTTGCAATTTAAGCCCATTGCTTTCACTCCCATCCCTAGATGGCATGAAGAGCAGTTCATAACCTCCCTCTTTACAGCAACCTTTCATACATATGACGACTTATCGCCTCACGCTCTGTCAGTCCCAATATTGCTGATCTTTGTCATATTTTCAGGACATCAGCACTGCTATTGCAGCTGAAGCTACCACACCAGATGGATTATCGATCTCTGACAGTAATCTCTGCAAGTGCCTCAGGGAAAGACACAAGAACAACTGAAGTTTGTTTTTCCACTTGCATACAATTTATGGGTGTTTAAGACACCAACTTCTGGCCTCTACAGAATCTCAGAAAATAAAAATCAGGTGGTGGGTCACTCCAGGGAGCAAGATATTTCTCCTTGCTTATGATTTGGGTGGTGGACAAAGAGTTGGGAACAGGTAAAACCTACCCTTCTTTCTCACTATTGACTGTGTCCTGGTACCATTTCACAATGAGCTGCTGGGAGATTTTTCTCCAGTGGGGTTTAAGCACCAGGGCAAGTTTTCCAATGGGAAGTGAACAGGTCTCTCCCTCTTCTCACTACTCATGCTCAATCATTACTTTTCTTTACATTTGCAGACTATCTATAGACCCTCTCAACTATTTATTTAATTATATTTAATAACGTCTCTAATTTATACTGACCATTTACAATCTGCGGCTGCTTGGGAGGCAGGGTGGTAGGAAGGCAGTATGTGCCTGTAAGCAAGAGGGAGGTGGGGAAGGTAACAAGGAGACTCAATGTGGGGGAAAGTAAATTGTTCTCTTCCAGTTTTGCCAGAAGCACAACATTTTATTTGGGTAGCTTTCAACACACATTTTTGTCCCACATCTTTGTTTCTACCTGAGGACTCCGAGAGACCCTTTCAACATTGCCTGGCCACATAAATGTTCCAACAGCCCAAAAAAGGCACTTTAGTCATCCAAACGTGTGACGTCAACAGGGCAAGCTGTCAAAAAAATTTGGATTTAATAACCACCTGAATTTGGTGCCTGCACTACCTCAATGCATAAAGCTGCATGCAAAACATGTCAGCTTACAATGAAGTTTTATTCTGAAACTAAAAGCAGCACCTTAGAAGTTCAAGTTTATTTTCTGCATAGAACTGGACAATGTATGACTGAAAGGTTTTTCCTTCCCCTTAAGGGGCAGCCAGGAAAATTCAGCTGAGGATTTGAGAGTCAAGGTAGATTATAACTAGTGATGATCCAAGAGACACACAGATTCTACAGGACTAACTCTACCTCTCCTACCAGTTAAAGAAAGGAAAATGAAGGTTAATTATCAAAAGAAAACAAAACTTAAGAGTGTAGATTCTTTAAAAAACACAAAGTGGCTACCACTGAGCAAAAACACTGACTTTTAGACAGGCAGGAACAATGTTGTATGATGTGAATAAAATGTGTAACCTGCGATTCTGAGACACCAGTTTGTGGGGCTTTTTTTTTTTTTGGGGGGGGGGGG